TGCAATTGGTATAGAATTTGTATTAGTATAGAATTTTTTTAATTTTATTATATTGAGTGGTTATGGTACGATTACCACCTAGGTCATCTTGACATTAAGCAATAGGGGAGACTGAATACGGTTGTGCCAGGGTATGGTAGTGACAGTCGCCATTAGAGCTAAACTATACTGATTCATAACGATGGTTTGTTTTTAAAAGTGTGCGTTCGTTATGGTTGTGACATGTGGTTGAGGGTCTTGTCCTTTCCGGGTGAAGATTAAATATATAAAGAAAAATCTATCTTAACTAACACAATATACTAAAGAGAAATGGAACGAAAAATTCAATACAAAAAAAAAAAATTCACAAAGATTTCTTGCTAGCTTTGTTTAGAAAGTCACGTTTTGTTATATATTGTTATATTATATTTTTAAGCTCTGTTTAAATGATCATGGTATGTTGTTTACATATTTCTAATAATGAAAGTCATTATGAACCATTTTCATGTTTATATCTATTGTTTTTTTTTTACTTAGTTTTATGCGTGTCACAACCGTCCTTGGGTATGGACGCTTGTGACACTCGCCGTTTTCTAATATGATTTGATTTTATGACTAAATCCATCGTATTTAAGGTTTTTCAGTTTTTCCATGTAGACTAATGTTCAAGTCACCATTTATTTTACTTTTCTCCCGGCTAACTGGTAAATTAATAAAATTATGGCTGATCAAAAAAAAGTGGCACAACCGTACTCTGACTCTTCTACTGATATCAGATTTAAACTTAAAATTATAGATTTAGAGCAATAGTGATGAACTATATTGTCACATCACTATTAAAAATATATTTAAAATCTCAACTGGTTATAACTCAAAATATAATGGTTAACCCAGTGGGGGTTGCCTTCTCGAATGGCCTAAGACAAATTACTGCAAATAGTGTTAATTCTAGAAAGCTGGGAGCAATTGTGTCCTTAATTTTGACTGTAGGCCTAAAAATGTTATTTAGTGTTACAGATTTAATTTGATATGTTCTATATGGTTAATATAATATTATTATATGGTTACTTTGTTATATGCATTTATAGTAAATCTATTCATGAAATCTGAATGTGGAATTAGATTTTAAACTAACCCAAAAATGATTGTACTATTAACACTAACAGTCAGTTATTCTAAATTGTATAAAAAAACTAGGCATACTTTTTTATATTTGTATCTCCCAGGGTTAAATTTATTGATATAACACTTGATCTGGGCAAATATTGGTCTCGTATTTCTCGAAGCTTTTAAACTTCTTGAGAGCAAACAAATAAAAATAAATGAAGCCAAATGGAAAAGTTTCATCAAATATTTCGCGTGGAGTGCGGAAAAAGCGCACTAGCAATTCAATTTTCTTCTCAGATAGTTAAAGAGGTTCTGAAGCCGCGAGCAATCCTTGCTCTGCAGGTTCTGTATTAAAGTTTTACGTCATTCAAAAATCTACTACTTCTATAACACCTTAATGTAAGAAAAACACATAGTTAACTTCACGTAAGGTAAGTTATTGCAATCGCAAAAAAAATGAAAATGAAATTTTTTATATATTTACGTCTTTTGAACATTTTGGCTTACCTTAGAAAACATGGATGTATGTGTGTGTATGTAATATATATAAACAATATTTGGTCGTTGTTAATGAGAGACGTGGTGATTAGTTTTTGGTAAAGGCAGGCCCAGCCGTTTAGAAGATATGAAGCAAAAAGTAACAATAATTGCAATTCTGAGAAGAACGGAGCGTTCGATTTAAATTATTTAAAAAACTTATAACTTGTATTGATATAATGAAGAATTCATTGAATTTTTAGAAAGACAGGTCTAGCGGTTTTGAAGATTTATTGCAAAACCATTAAAAATGTTATTTGTCAGTTAAAAAATATTTGAGATCAAATTATCTGATATTCATAATTATATATATTGCATCTTATTTCACATAATGCAATAAAAGATTTAAAACTGTAACTGTAATTATCAGATATTTTATAGACATTTTGATAATTAGTACAAATTTTGTTTACTTTTTTATGGGTTCCGTACTAATGTTTATCCCTTAGACTGCTCTAAAATAGCATAGCAGCGTGAAAAAGAAATTTAAAATTTGCAAAAATTTTTAAAGCATTTAAACATTTTAAATTACGGTACGGGAAGTTTCAGGTATTTGCATTAAGACACGCTGCTTTGCAACACTAGTTTAGTTTTATCAAATATAAAGGTTATTTTTTCTTATAAATTACATTACTAGGGGCCGTTCAAGTATTACGTAAGCATTATAGGGGGGCGGAGGGGTTGTTGATTTGCTTATTTTGACATGGAGGGCAGGGGAGTCTGGATGATGATTACGTCATAGGTAGTATTTTTATTTTTTTACATTATTTGCAAAATGTTTACGTAAGCATGGGGGTAGGGGGTAAGAGCTTTGCTTACTTTTGCTGACAAGGGGGATGGGGGGGGGTAAATAATTGTAATAAAACTGCTTACGTAATACTTGAACAATCCCCTATAAAAAATTATTTGATTTTTAATAAATATGCGTAACTTGAATACAATTTAGAATAAGTTTTAACTTTTACGTGTTATATTGAAATACGTTTTATTTCTAAAAGTCTATTATCGTATAGTATTTTTGTGTGCTGTTTATTCATATGAGTGCCCCGCCACAGGGGTTTCCCAATGAACCGAATCTACTTCCCTTTGTGCTTGGATTCTGTATTGCTGCCAATACCGCTCCACAATACATCACCGATGCATAGTGGGACCAAATAATATTTCACTGGAACGTGTACATGGATTGATCAGTCGGTGGCATTGCTAGAACTCTATCAAATGACATAGGAAATGGAACGAATATTTCTGTGTTAAAGTTGTGACATGTGAAATTTGTATGAACTAAAACGTTTTTAAATTGCGTTTTCCAATTTTCTTCTGTTTTACCTGGAAAATTGTAGTGTGCTCCCGCTGGCAGTTTTACGTCTGCGATATACAACCATATTGCAGAAATACGTGTATACAACTAACAATGTGTGTGTTCGAGAGCGTTTATTAGAGTAGTTAATTTTTATATTGAGATGTGTAAGCGCTTTTAAGGCGATACATCTAATAAAAGGCAACGATTTATAAATTAATTGTTAATTTTCCAAAAATTTCGACGTTGTAAAGTCGATAGACAAGATAACAAATTGAGAAGTCCTGACAAGAGTGGACAAAGAAAGAAGTTTACTGAGCACAATCATTAACAAGAAATGAAAACTAGATCTGACCCATTCTGTAATTTTACACGATGTCGTGGAAGGTCAAATAAAAAGACTAAAGGGACAGAAAAGAAAAGAATGCAGATGATTGATCACTTACGTAAGAAGAGAAGGAAGTACAGGGAACTGAAATTCGAAGCACAGGATCAAGAAACATGGAAGCATAAGTTTGTAGAGAAAAATGCAGAAAAGTGTATGAAAAAGTGTTTAATGGTAATGGGAATGGTAAATAAGGAAGGGAAAGAGAATCATTGATTTGTGGTGGCTCTCACATCATGGACCTGCTTTCGGGCAAACTACCATTTATGATCATTATATATGAATCATATAATATGATTATATACATTAGTTCGAATTACCTATTAAAAGCTATTTTAAATTTTTAGTTTGAACACGTAATCGAGGCTGTTTGACAAAAATCAATTGTTCTTTCACAAACCTAATTCTGATCGTAATGTTTCTCAAAAATATTTAGTTCTCAAATTTACATCTTTTGTCTTGTTTTAAAAGTGATGACATATATCAGACTTGATCAAACACAAATTGTTAATCCTTCTTTCTTCTCGAATGCATCAAATTGATGGTTTGATAGTTTTATTTTATGGGTTACTTATGTTGTGATATATTAGCTCACTCTACTTTTATATTGGTTAATTAAAATTCAGGAAATGTTCTTAATATATTCTTAATATTCTATTCTTTTGTTGTCACTAGTAATATTTGCATATATATTACATTATAGCAATATTTGCTAAAATAATATATTACATTATAGCATTGATTCTAGGTATCGTTCATAGATTTAGCATACAAAACTAATTCTCCATTTCACTTGGTAGGGTAAATTCTGAGTGTAGTCTTGTTCTGATGGAATCAAACGTGATATTCAGTTCTGTCTATATTGTAGTCTTTGTTGAAGTTGGGTTCGTGCTTCCTTACGTAAAAGGATTCAAGTCCCTATAGTCCTTTAAATTTTTATTTATCCATCGTATATACATGGGTTAGTCTATTTGGGTTTATAAGATTGAATTTAGCATCTGAGATTTCGGGTGTGCGAATAGTCTTTTAGGGATCTCGAAGCAATTAGGTTCTAGATCTAAACATTTGTATAACAAACCTATAATAAATAAATTAAAGAGTTTTAGAAATACATTGTTAAATATCTAATAATCCTCATTACAACATGCTGTGAAAACTTCTGGTAACAAAGTTTGAAAATATAATTAATATAAATAAATTAAATATTGATTTTTCTTTAAATATTTATATGCAATATTCATAATTTTTATACGCAGTTAGATATTGAACCAACATACGGCGATTTTCAAAATTATCAGTAAAACAGTATTTAAATACAGTACACTGAATAAAATAAAATTATACGAACTATTTCAATCTTAATTTTGATAAGATATTATTTTTCTGCATTTTTTAGATTTTCTGTTATATATTACTGTTTAACTAGTTATTTTTTTAAATATATTTGTTTTCGGAAAATATTATACATTAAATTGGTAATATTTTCATTTTTTCAAATATCTGACGTTTATCTAGTATTTATATATTTGTTCGTAGAATGTGTAGTTAGATTTGAAGCATAGTAATGCTGTAAATAATTAATTTTCCAGAAAAGTTTCACTAGATTCGGAATAAAATAATAATGAATGGTTATTTATTATTTATTTTTCAATAATAAACTCTATATTATGAAAAACAAATTATGTTTATTTTCAGATGTCCTAATATGGGTGGTTCTAGTGCATGGGAGTGCGTAGTTTTGCTCTCAGTCCTCGTCTGTCGAGTTTCTGGACTTGCCTCGGATATGTGAGTACTGTAATGTTTGATTATAAAATATTAATGAAAATATATTTAGTGCTATTTTCAACCAAAAAGTTAAGCGAATGTTTTTTTTTGGGACGACAATTTTTAGTTACGGTAATACGGGGCAGTGATGGCGTGGGGGGCCTTGTAGAGCTTTAAAATAACAAATGCTATTTTAGGCTACAATATAAAAAACGATTATATGTAAAACTTTGTTATCTATGATATTTCTTATAACTTTGTTATCTATGATATTACTTTATTTTCTATCTATATATTTTTTCGCTTTTGAGTTTTGTATAAAATTCCATTCAATTCTTCATAATCAATTTGAAAAAAATAGCACTTGTTCCTTTGTTTTCATAATTTTTGTTAATTTACCTATCAATTTTCGAAAAATTGAGACAATCCGGGACAAAAGATCTAAATCCGGGACAAATATTACTTTTTGAAAAACCCGGGACACAAGGCGGAAATCCGGGCTGTTTTAGCCAAACCGGGATCAATGGTCACCTTAGCAAAAACTAATCAGCAATATTCCCAACCATTATCTTCCGAACAGTTTATGAATTTTCAAAATAGACTAAGGATAAGCTTAAACGTAGACGAAAAGTTTCACATTTTTTTTGCTAATTACTAAGGTTCAGCCGATTGTTCAGCAAAATTGATAAACACTAGTCCTCATTGAAATACATCGATATTGGCTATAAATTTTTGAATTTGAAATTAATATTAAATTTTTGAAATCGGTTCAGTTGTTTTAGAGAAAACATCGACGAAAGGTCAAATATCGGCTCACATATACACACACAGTCACACATACATTTTCCAAATTTGGTCTGATTCGATTCAGAATGACTTGAAACTTTGAGAAAACATAAAATTTGTAAATTGGATTTTATCTAGAAAACATAAACTTCTCTCTCGAAAAGTTAATAATTAAATGTATAGATGATTTATTAAATTTGTTACTGCTACACGTAAGAACATTTCCATAATTCCAGTTTCAATAAATTTTGATTTGATCAATTGAGCTATTAGATTAGATTTAAAACATCATTTTATTAGACTAATAACAAATATGCCGAATTTTGTCATTTTATCTATTGATCAAATTATTGGATGCTTGGACGTTTAACTCTATTTCGTTTTGTATTTCAAACAAATAATATAATTCACATGAAATTTTAAATGAGACTGCAATATTACCGTGTATAAGAGTCAATTTTTTCCCCATAATGAAGTCTTTATAGATTTTAATATTTACAATGCTAATTTAAAAAATTATAAAAAGGAATATAATATAACTATTTAGAACTCAGTGTCAAATTACATGAACGCATAAATATATAAATTATTTTATTAAACTAGGTCAAAATTTACACATACAACAAAAATAGGTAATCACTCACTTCCAGTAATAAACATAATTATAAAATAACATGCATCTCTGTAATTAGCACGCTCATATCAAATTTGCTCATATCAAATGCAATTAACGCATTAAACCATCCACACAAATATAAATATTTAATTGCATAATTTCCAAGGTTGTACTCATTATTAATTATAATAGAAAATTAAACATTAGTATAAGCACCAAAGTACGCCGCGAGTCTTGGTTATACACTATGCATAATCGCCAGAATAGGTTCGTAGGATATTAAGGACTTGCTACGAAGCAGTTTGAGTCATAAACCATATTTACTGTATCAACTATGAATGCTGTATGAGGTATGACTGAATGATAAATGATTTTAGTAATAACTTCTAATGCTTACATCTGAAATTATAAATTTAAACATGTAGCGTAAAACTACGGTCGAACCCCCCCTATTTATAAACAAATATTAATTTCAATTAGTGTACGCATGAAAATATTTTTTTGTAAATCTTAGCTTTTTATTTTTTTTTAATATTAGTCTTGGCATTTTTGAAAAATTTTGAGAAACTGCTGAAGTTTCTAAATTGTTCATTTTAATTGAAAATATACTATCAATTCACAGAATTAATCAATAATAATTTATTATTAAAATTTTGAACTTAAGAAATGTTGTAATGTAGGGTGGTACACAAAAGTCCTATTTGACTTTGAGTAGTTATATTGTGTAAACCAAAGTAATTATATTGCAACAAATTTAACTGATACCAAACAAACAACTATCTGACTATGTTCAGTAAAACTCCCGGCTAATTCATAATTCATCACTGTAGAAATTTCAAACATTTGTCTCCTGTTTTTTTACGCCATAGGCAGAGTAAAATGAGACGACCAATTTTTAATTTTAAGAGGAGTTTACGAAATAATAACTACATTATTCAACCAAAGCAAAATGTAAATTTCGTGGATACTTTTTTTACAGAGGTAACAGTGTATATAACCTTGATCAGGTATTCCGTCAGAAATAATCATCAGCATAGTTTGAATAATTATTTATTCACAACATATTTCTTGTAAAATTGCTTTTTTAACTTAATTTATTTTTTATTCAATATTTTTTATTTTTTACACCTTTGCCAGGGTAGTTGTTCACTCACATGCGAGCTTTTATGTAGATTATTTAAAAAAAAATTGTTCAATCTAACTTGAAAATACTAATACATTTTATAAAAAAAATTAAAAATGTATACCTAAAAGTTATATTAAGGCCTTGTAAACTAAACAACAATGCTCACAATCAAATAAGTAACAACGAAAAAATACTTTTGTTATGGATTTTCAAACAGTGCTAGTCTTCCGAAAGCGACGTCGTAAGATGGCTGTCCATACACTTTTTATCCTCTATTTTCAAATATTGTTGTTAAAAATTCTCAACTTTACTTTACAACAAGATGTTGACGGTAGACATTTTTACCCGCGCACCTTTAAACTCCGCTCTACCTTATGCTTTTTCCGGTATCAGGGGATTCATAATTTTACAGCAAACATTTCTAATCGAATATTTGATTTTTTGTTGCTGTTCAAATTATAATTTGGGTTCATCATTTTTATCACTTTTATTTGCCGATATTGATTTTCATTCTCATCGTCTGCCACTTTAGGGATTATATTTCAACTCTTCATATTTCGAAATTCGGTTTCGGTTTTCAACATCACTGTATTATCTGTGCACTTTATCAGGAACTTAGCCCCCTTTTATTTATTATATTCAATATTTGGTCCGCATATGAAATAAAATACAAATATTCAAGTTATCAGTTTTGTGGCTAATCTTCATGTCAGTATCATCTTCGGAATGTGTACGTCGTTAAACGATCGGGATACTAAACTTTTTATAAGAAAAGTTTCGGATCTTATCAATATTGTAGAACGGATTAGAAACTTTTCCTCGAGCTGAACAACCACAAAGTTAAACTTACTTTCATGGTTTTGCATGCATAAAATATATAGGCAATAAATCGTTTGAAACGCCAGTTGTAAAATATAAGTGATGTGGCTGATTGAAATAATTCAAGCAATCAAGCAAAAGAATTATTTCAATGACTTATAATAGCTAACAATTTGAACAAATTTTACCATTAATAAAAGTTGTGAGTCTTTACAAAAATTTTGTGTAAAATCCTGATTTTTTTAAGCATCTAATTATAAGATGCATACTCTATATTTTCAAGAAAACCATATTATCGTCAATTTGCTACGGACTATTATCTTTGTTATAATAATTAATCAACTTTAGAATGATTTTATATAAAATGCATTAATCATTTTACAGAAAATTGTACTTCATTAAGGATTGAAGCGCTTCTCGACTTTTTACTTCAAGTTTTTTTTTTAATTTTATTTCTTTCCTGACACGGTATATCAAGTAGGGGAGCAAGGGGCTGTACAAGGGGTTCGTATGTAACGGGGGTAACTAGTAACAGGCGTTTTAAACAGGATCTTGAAACACACTAAAATATTTTTTGTTTCCATTGGACATGTAAACCGTTCTGCACAATATTGTCATAGCTACTGTCCCGAAGGCTGACGCAATAAACAGAACTGTACAGGTCCGTCATTTTGGAGAGGTGCTATAAAATTGTATACTTATAAAATTTTGATTTGCATTATTATTATCAATTGTTTTAAATTCAGCAAGTATGTGCAACAGTTTTTGTGATTGCTAAATTGTTCAAATAGTTATCTTGACAAATGTGAAAAAATCAAACCTGAGGTTAGTTAAAACAAAACCTTTAGCATAGTTGTACCATACAAGAATTATATATATATTCGAGTGAAAAAATGAGTGAAATTTATAGTTTGTAAGATCTAAGATGTAGGCAAATGTACATTTTGTTACAGGAGACACTGTATCTTTTATTTGTTGTAATTCTAGTTTACGTTGATTTATGATAAAAGTTTATGATTTAGGAGACATTATATATTTTATTTGTATTAATTATAGTCTGCGTTGATTTGTGAAGAATTACTTAAAAACAAGTCATTTTTAACTTCCCGTAGGGCAAGTTATAGTAATCGCAAAAAAATCGAAAATGAAAATTTTTATATATCTTTACGTTTCAGAGGTTTCTGAACATTTTGGCATACCTTAGAAAAAATGGATGTATGTGTGTGTGTGTGTGTGTGTGTGTATGTGTGTATGTGTGTGTGTATGTGTGTGTGTATGTATGTACGTGTGTGTATGTATGTGCGGATACAAATTTTCGTCGACGATTTCGGGAACACCGATCAACCGATCTGAATAATTCAAAAAACATTCGATCCGTATTGATAAGGAGACGTGCTGATTAGTTTTTGGCGAAGGCAGGTCTAGCCGTTCCGAAGATACGGGGCAAAAAGTGCCGAAAACGGTAACTCAGTTTTTAAGAGAACGGAGCGTCCGATTTGAAAAATTCAAAAAATATTTTACTTGTATTGTTAAGATGTAGATTTGATCAAATTTTCATGAAGGCAGGTCTAGCGGTTTCGGAGATCTAATGAAAAAAGTAAAAAAAAATGCCATTCGGCGGTTAAAAATGATCATTAGACATATGCACATCAAATTATCAGATATTTTATAGAGATTTTAACAAAAATTTATAATTTTTTTTACATTTCTATGGGTTCGACGGCGGCAATTTTTTTACAATGCTTATGCGTTAGACGGCGGCGCGGCACTTGCGAGCTTTGACATTTCGTCTCTATGCAGTTCAAGCAGTGCGATTGCTTTGAAAAAAAGTTCAGAATTTCCAAACTATGTCAAAATGAAGAAAACATTTTTTTTCAAAAAATTTTATTGTTTTAAAAAAAAAAAAAATTTTCTCAAAAAAAAATTTTTTTTTTCAAATAAAAATTTTTTTTTTTAAAAAAAGTAATTTTTTGTCAAATTTATAGTTTCTCAAAAATCTATTTTTTTCGAAGTAAATTTTTTTCAAAAATGTTATTCGTTTTTGAAAAAATAATAATTTTTGGTACGGGAAGTTCCAGCAATTTGCCTTAAGGCACGATGCCCTAATTGCCTTAAGACAGAATTCCACTTACAGCTAGTTTTTAAATATAAAAATAAATTTTTCGAGGCATTATTGTCGTTACTACTTGCTTTGATAGATGTTACAAATATCCCCAAACACGAGGAAACTATCAAATCTGGTATGTACTGTAAATCAGATACAATTTTATGAATTTACAACATATTATTGCGCAAATTGGGTAGAGGTATAATTGGAATATCTGAATAATACATATGTTCAATTAGCTATTACTTAATATCTTTTATAGCAATAATTTTTGGATTATCTTAAACATTAAACAATTTGCATTTATTTATTAATTTTCATAGAAAAAGTATTATTTACTTTACTTACTTTTATACTTTTCAAAGAATTATTAGGAGTGGCTTCATAGAAGTATAATATAAATTTGAACGATAAACAATAAAGTAAAAAATGTCAAACTTCAGAATTTCAAGGATACAAATAAAAATATACCACATTACTAGTGTTATAAAAATAAGGTAACTATTTATTAGTAATTGTAACTATATTTGAGCATTACTTTTACTTTCAGATTTGAAGAAGGCAAATCAGACAAAGAGATTCTTGACAACTTGTTGAAGAATTCAAGATATGACAAGAGGCTTCTCCCGCCAGTTCAAGGTTAGTAGAAAAATTTACCAAAGTTCTAATATATTTTGTTAGGACATAATAGCACCACATTTCTCCAAAAACACATTATTACCCTTATGAAAATCATCGTTTATTTCAAAAGTTTTCATAAATTTCTTTTGAAAAATATCTTCAATCTAAAAACAATTACTGAAAATAAAATAATAGTGTTTTTACTTTAGCCACTAAAATGTTCGTTGAATGGTTGAATAAAATTGTAAGATTAGAGCTATCACATGTATCATAGTTACATTTTGGTACCTTTTTTTATCGAGATCACATATTTCAAAATTAAATAAATGTAATTTAATAAATCAATTGTAATCAAGGCTAATCTTAATATTTATTTCACAATGTCAATATAAAATAATTATTGAAAAAAATATAATATAATTATTTATAAACTGATCAAGCATGGAAACTATCTAAACTCTCAGAAAAATTATATGCAGACCCTTATCAATTCACACTGAAATTTATACTTTTTTTGTCAATCAAAACTTTATTAAAGTTTTATATTACAAAATAAATTTATACATGACCAGAAATACAAGATTATTTAATTGTACATTTTTAAAATAGTCTCGTATTTAGCATATTTTGAATTACACAACAAGTTGTTTAGGAAAAACCTATTTATTTAAGTGTATAATATTATTATACAAGAAGGTCTATATTATTTTATAAAAATTTGGAATTTGTTTAAAGAAAATGATCACGTTATGAAAATGATCTTATGAAATGTAAATAAAAATTTTTTACTAACATTTTACCAATCTATTAAATAAGAGTACTGCCAGTGGGAGAAGTCTGATTATGCTAGTTTTTTTTGATCTGCAATAATTTTGTTAATTTACCAGTTAGCTGAAAGAAAAGTTAATGAAATGGTGATTTGAACATTTGCCTACATTGAAATACTAAAATACTGTTCTTAACTGGTGGATTAGTCATAAATTCAAAGCTTACAAGAAATGGACGAGTGTCACAACCGTTCTTGGGGCATAAAAATAGGTTAAATAAAAAACAATTATGAATATAATACAACAAGATATAACAAAACATAATTTTTTGTAAAACCTTTTTTTCTCATGTTAAATTTTTCTTTACCTTTCTCTTCGGCTTCTTCGGTCTTAGTTATGTTAATTTTTTTTATCTATTTAATCTTCACCCGAAAAGGCCAAGAAATACATGTCACAACAGTACCTACAAAATTTGTTACAACCGTACCCACAAAATTTGTCACAACCGTACCCAACGCACAGTTTAGGAGACAAATCATCTTTTTGATCTAGCTAAATTATCTATGCAAAAACTAATTGTTGGCTATTAACTACTAATGTTCAACTTACAGAAAAATAACAAACAAAGTGATCTAACTGTATAGAAGTAATGATTATTATTAAAAGAATTCGAATAAAAAAACTTGCTTTTGGCTCTTTAAAAGCAATGCGGTCTACAGATGCGGAAACTTGTTCAAACAAACATACTACATATTAAAATTTATCACAAGTAATTGGATTCTTGCAGTCTTTTTGAAACAGTATATCGGTATTTAAAATGATCCGTTTTTATTTTTTCATATTAAATAATGCTGCATCGTAATATATTGTGGATTTATATTATATTGAGGATATTTGTATGTTGTATATAATTACATAATATATGATAAAAAGTTATTTCTGGCTAAATCTATGACTTTTAAAATGAAACAAAACCCGATCCTATAATATACACGAGACGGCGCGGCGCCGGCGCGACGTCTGGTTACGACGATAAATTAACATTTTATGGTCTCATGAAAAGCTCTCATAGGCAATTATTGGTCTCTATTTATTCAGATATACTGATAGAAATTAACCAGTTTTATTTGTTTTATTTTTATTATATGTGTTCCGAATACTTAATGTATACCATTAATGATTTTTTAGCTATCGACAAAAATTAATAATTTTATTGTAGTTCGTATTGCAGGAATTTCAAATAAAACATATTTAAACCTGTTTTGATAGTATTTTTTACTGATTTTAATAACTATATTTTAATTAACTTTTAATTAAATTTTAATATATATTAAAACTGATTTTTTATATACAAAAAAAATTTATTTGCATATAAAAACGTACTGTAATAAATATACACAATAATACTTTATTTCAATGACGTGAAGGTTTATAGTGATTTTTTATAACTTTATTTTAAATTTAATTTACAGTTTAATTTATCGTTTTGAAAATGATTGATTCTAGACATTGTAATTTATTTTTTCATATGCATTATAAAATTATTTGCATATGAAAACTGATGCGTATTTTTATAAATATATACGAATCTGCATTATTTCTAAAAATTAATATTGATGCAAAAGTTTATAGGAGTTTTTAATATAGTTTTATATTTTAGTAACAATTTAATTTATTGTTGTGAATACGAGTGATTTTATACATTTCAATTTATTTTTTTATATACATTATAAAAATTATTTGCATATGGAAACTGATGTCATATAAATATATATAGAACTTTATTATTTCAATTAACCAATTATTTTATATTTTGTTTGATTACAATTAAATTTATCTTTGGAACTACGAATGATTGTAGGGATATAATTTACTTAATTTGTTATGTTATTGGCAATCTTTTTTAGTTTCAAGCTTGTTTATGAATTGTGTTTAATATAGTTCTCTTTTCCCAACTTAGTCTTAATCTTCGCCATTCTTTCCCACTAATTTTCAAATAACTCAGCAAATAGTTTGATGTTTGTATGTATTTCAACAACTCTCCAACTGTATTTGTGCTTTTAATCTATGCCATAATAATTAAACGATGATCTAGACTTAACATTTTACTCAGAATAGGGCGGGGCACAAAGGACCAATTAGACTTTGAGCAGTTATATTGTGAAAACCAAAACAAATTACATCACAATAAATACCATATATCTGACTATGTTAAGTAAAACTAATATTCAAAATTGGTACTACATCTTATTAAACAATTAAATAACATACACTTAAACATATTTTAAGGGGCTTTTAAACTAAACAACAGTGCAAGCAAATAGAAACTAACAACAAAAGAAAATATTTTTGTTATAGATTTCCAAACATGGTTGTTTATCCTCTTATGGTCTTTTAATTAATATATTTTTCTTTTCCTCTACTTTCAAATATTGTTAAAAAATTCCTAAGTTTACTTGTTTTTGAGATATTATTGGTGGACCTCTTTACCCGTGGATCATAGATCCTTAAGCTCCGCTCTACCTTATATTTTTCTTCAACCCAATTTAATTTTTTTTTACTTTGATCCTGGTAATCATACTCATGCAAGTATCAGAAAACTTGCAGAGCGCACAATTTCTATTATAATTGTAATTTCAGGGTAAGTTATAGTAATTGCAAAAAAATCGAAAATGAAAATTTTTGCATATCTTTACGTTTCAAAGGTTTCTGAACATTTTGGCATATCCTAGAAAAAAATTATGTAGGTATGTGTGTGTCCATGTGTAATGTATGTTTGGACACAATTTTTAAAAAATGAAATAGAATGATCATTAAATATATGCACATCAAATTATCTGATATTTTATAGAGATTTTAAACATGTGTACTAAGTTTGTTACAATTTTTTTGGGTTCCGTATCAAGATTATTAATTTCTAAAGTTTACTTATACGGTTCAAATAAATTTTGCCAGATTTTTTTTTGAAAATTTCCAAAAATATACAAAATTTTATACTTTAAATATAAATTTTAAATTTCATTTTAGTTGGATTCATTCAGCAATTCTTCTTAAAATAAACATTTTCAAGTGTTTTGAGCGATAGGATCGTCCCTATATATTATATGAACGAATATTCATAATTATTAAAAATATTTAAAACAATTGTTGTTAATTATTGATCAATATTTATGGATTATTAATTTTTTTTACTCGAATATTTTATTCTAATATGGAAAGTTCTAGCAATTTGCCTTAAGGCACGATGCCATGCACCACTAGTTTATTTAATGTTGGCTGACCGTTGCCATGTGAACGATAAGATGTCCTTGCTTCTAATAGGAGTACTGCTGCAATCTCACGGGTATACGTGAGGTTAAACAAGGACTTTATCTTAAAACTTGTGCAACGTATATCCCGCTTACAAGTTGATTAGTTTAGCGTACAGTCTAAGTTCTGAATGAACTGTTGAATGTGATCTCGGCTAGAAGGACAAAGACTTTAATAAGATCAAAGTGAATCACAAAACATCCAACATAAATGCTAGGCACTGCCAGCCAGTCGATGAATATGCATTATGTAGACAGCATCAGATAGTGTTTGCCTAAGGCATCTTGCTCTAATGTTACGTTTGAACTAATAATTATCGTCAAAGGCATGTCAATTCCGTGACAAATTTTGTTTTCATTAGTTTGAACAATATGGTACTGCTTGACATCAGGCTGTCTGATACCAACCTCGGACTGCTTTACGTAAAGTAGTAGCGACATACGTTTTCATTTTAAAAAGAGCCTTTTACTGGTATCGCTGTATCAAATTAAAAATTTATTACTAAAACTTCACAATATCTTCACCAAGTTTTTCGATTCCATATACCTTGGCAACAGTAAGGTTAAATTTTACTTTATTTAACAAAAAGATATCGTTCACAGGCATTGTAGTTAGAACTATAAGATTAAATTTTAAGGGATCAGAAGTTTCAGATTTGATACCCGCCTCGGATAGCCTGATGTCAAGCAGCAGTGATATCAGTTTTCACTTGGTATTTACAAAAGAATATCAGTATTAATAAATGGTGATATTAATTTTATCACATAGGCATTGGACAATGAATATACGTGAATCTAATAACGCAATAGCCAATTCAATAAAAATCAAACTTTATGAAATGAGAATATTGACTTATGGGACCGTTTAATATCTTGGGTGTGGCACACTTCAGCAGTAGTAAATCATATTTCAAATGAATACTTACTGCTACAATCAGATGTTCTTGGCTAATGCTTCGTTAGAGTTTTCAGTAATTACTTCCACTTATTTAAATAAATCATTTAATTTTTTCATATTTAAGTTTTTCTTTTGAGAAGTTGATTTTTTTAGCTTATGTAATAAGTAAATTTAAAATATTTGCCATAGTAAAATTAATTTTCTAGATAGTTGATTCTACACATTTGAAAATTTGATTAGTAGTAATGAAAATTTTATTTAGTTGCCATCAGAGAGTTTCAATCATCCCACATTTATGTAATTGACTTATAATTATTAGTTTACTAAGAATTCTAGCATCATATATAACGCGAGTGAGCGTGTGTACTTTCTCGTATATGTGTAAATATTATATACAAATATAATTGGTTCATATTTTGTGTATCATGTTACAGAGCAACAGAGAATATCTATGTTGACTTGAATATCTAAATGTAAGAGTCGTTTCGCTATAAGGAAAGTTGCATAAACTTTTCGAAATGTATGAATAATCGACTTGATTAATAAGAATTGAAATTTAGCATCTTTTCAAATTGTGACAACAGAACTTTTAAATTTTGACGCGACCACAAACTTTAACGATTATGTTAACCACTTTTCGTAGGCCTGTAATAGTAGAGTTTGATCAAAATGTTTGTTGAGACCATGAACTCTACCTTCACACAGAGTTTTCACAAAATCATCAAAAACAATTGCAACTATTTATTACGAAGAAACGACTTGGCCTATTTTACCAAGAACTAATCAGCACGATTTCCAAATGATAGTAGAGGTGGCTTTTAAAATTTTGAAATCAGTGCAGTTGTTTGCGAAAAAAAGTCGGCCGAAGGTCAAATATTGGCTTACACACACATATACCAAAATGTATTCATATATTTTCCAATTATGCTTCAGAATGTTTTTTATGGAAACAAACTTCTTCGCGAAGTTAAAAATTTAAATTTTGAGTTATTTATTTATATGACATTTTATTATGAACGTTACATTACGTATTGTTACATCATTTTTATTGTACTTTTTCATTCCTTACGTTTCTGGACATGTTTTCATGTGAAAACTATGACTCTTTCATGCTCCATACTTTATATACCAAACCTCTGATTATAGAATACAATATATATATATATATATATATATATATATATATATATCAATTTGTATAGCTTAAATCCAGAAGTAGTATTTGAGGTCTAATAAGCAATGATTTTTTCATTGATGATAGTTTATATTTAAAAATGCATGGCTAGAACCACTGGTAATGTAAAGAAATATATGTTGTTTTCGTTATGTATTATAATAACAAAAGCTTTGAAGTTTCCATTTCTTAATGTTTGCGTTATTTGATGATGTATGCGTAATTTGGGTATACTATAATCATGTCTATTATAACAACAACTACAGGTAGTCAATCAATATATTTTTTATATTCAACACTTAGTTAGAATCAATGAACGAACATAACGAATGTTATGTCACCAAAACCTTCGATTTATTTTTGGACGCATTTTACTAAATGTAACATGATGATAATATTAATCTATTATGTAGATCTGGAGGTTAAAGCCTAAAGCTTAAAGATCTGAGGTTGATAGTATTTAAAATGATAATATATTAGCATCGAAAAGTCAGCAGTAGTCCATAAATTTTAGACAAAGAATTCAGGAAACAATAAAACTTAAAATTGGATCTGCTCGAAGTTACAAATGTTCGATGTTTCTGTCATGCTGTCTACGATCCACGGAAGGAACATAAAAGTTTAAATTGGTTCGATCCTTGTCGAAATTGTGGTCTCGAGGACTGTGAAGTTTTATTCTATGACGAAAACCAGTGCCCGCTCATCGAATCTGTAAAATATATAGCTAGGTTCTACTCCTGAATAATTCATAGCTACATGACACAAGAAAACGTAATTTCAACAAAATGTAATGTTCACTTATTTTATTACTGACTAAAGTATAAAAACGAAATATAAGCTTTATGGATGTCCATAGGTAAACCCATCTTTGTTTAATAGTGGTTTGCTTCTGAAAATATCATATGCAATATTTTGTCAAAAAATATGTGATAAATTAAGTTATTATAATACTTTCTGATTTGAGATTTTCATGCCATTAAGAATTATAAGTCATATCTACTATATCAATAATACGGGGCATGCGGCGAAGCTCGTTTTTTACAACACAATATTTGTTTAAATATTATAGAATTGAGCGCAGAGCCATAAACCTCGCATATCTTGAAAAAAAAAATAGAATTTACCAACTTCAAATTTTTATCACGATTTTAGTGAACTCACTTAAACAAGGCAAGGAGAGTGTATTTTTCTAATTTTATGATTTTTTTATATTTCATACAAAAAACTTAATTTTAGGGAGACCCCAAAAAATGTTGATAGCGGACTTTACCAAAGGCACGCTGCGCCCCTGAGCAATGATAATAATGGTTTTTATACAATTTATTACATATATTTTTTCTTTATAATTAATGTTAGAAACGCATAGATTGATAACTGTATACTCACTGAGATATCAGAGAATTTCTGAACATACTATGTAATCGTAATGATACGATTATAATAATTTGATGATAGCTGATTTGAATAAATATTATTAGTATTATTAAAAATATATTAAAAAATACAAATACTACTATTTTTATGAATGAGGCATGCAATAATTTTAGAAAGATTAAAAAACTGTCAAAATTGTTTCTGAATTGGTATTTGCATGCAACTCTTAGTTAGTAAAAAATTTACTGAAAATATATTTTAAAAATTAGATGTTGTAAATTGAAATATAGTTTTTAGCGACTTGCTGTTTTCATTTATCTAATTCTAAGGTAGAAAGTTAAATCTCAATACTTTGGTTTGCTTTTTTTCTTTTAAAATCTTACAAAACGTGTACATTCTTTAGCAATTTAACCTCTCCATTTAATATTCTCTGGTTTAAGTTTTTTTTGGAAACTGATTTAACTTTGAAGGAGTGCACTATATGCAAGATTGTTGAAACGCTCTATGTATCACGAAATATTAGTTGTGACATCCAAAAACATATGATCATACTAACGGTTTTTTGTTCACGGTGTTAGAAATAACATTTGAGATAAATCAAACTTTAAATGTAGTATAGTACTTTTCGCAATTTATATATATATATATATATACCACTAATATATTTAAACACTACTAATATATTGAAAATGCTTTATTTATTTTTTTGTGAATTCACACGAACATTTTAACTAGCGCTAATTTAAATTTACACGAACACTTTAACGATGCTGAACTTTTGCTTTTATGGCACTAATATTACAGTGAATGAAGATATTTTTCAATTAATATTCATTGATGGCGATTCCAACTACATCATCTTAACTATATTTTATTAATTATCCGATTGATCCTGTAGTATTTATAAAGTTATTATTCTTTACCAATTTTTGTTTTATTTATTTTTTTGCTCCTTGATCATATTTTTCACTATTAATAATGCATTTCTATACGTGATTCCAGAAGTCGGCCAGTTTAATGTTTTTATTTTCTAATAATTTGCAATTATGCTTGATAATATTAATATCTAATGTTGCTTTTATTTAATATTTTTATCCAAATAGTGACAATGGATAAATTATGTGACTAAGGGCTTGATCATATTATCTTTTAATAAAGCAACAGCCTAGCTTTAGCACTACAATCAGATTTTGATCATTTTTGTTTCATTTGAATTCATTTTAAGAAATAGATTTTGAGCGAAAAACTAAACAATATTATCAACGTTGAATGATATTCAACTGAACTATTCATTTTCAAAATATTCGATTTTCTTATTCTAGTAATTTTTTGACTAAAGTATAAGTTGAATCAAAATTTTTAGCATGAATCAAAATGAAGTAAAAAGATTATATTTTTTATTAAAATGGGTATTATATATGAAATATGCGATTTGGCTTGTTTGTAATAGATAAGACAGGCTGATTTTGAAGGCAAATATTTTATCACTTTTGAAGATCAAAATATAAAGATTGTAAATTTAATAACATCTTACTTATATACTTAATTTCAAATTGTTATTTCTGAATTTATTTTACTCGCATTTTTTGTTATTTTAAAAAATATATTGTTTTTACAATATTTTGCATTTTACGCAAATAAATAGTAGCAGTATTATTAAATCTGTACATTATTATTAGATGTAACTTGAAACACAATAATGTGAAGAGATTTAGTTATGCTTGTTTAGAAATTTGCATATAAACCTAAATTAATTTTGGCTGCGTTTGAATTACAATTGGCATGGGTCATTATTAATTCTGATTAATATTGATTGTTTATGTTCCAATGTACATATATAGGTGCTTATATTTCTATGAAGTTCTCAATATTTCTACACGCAAGTTGTATGTGTATAAATAATCGAGTTTCAATTATATTTTTAGGCTATAAATTATCATATAATATATGTTTTGTAAGTTATTCGGATTTTCGAAAATTCGACTATTGTCTTTTCGGTAATAAGCAATTGTCATGAGTTAATTTGAACATTAATCTGGCGGCTTTCGAATGGAATCACGTGCAATACCAAAAATCAATCCCCTAAGTACAAATTATAAATGTAGTAAGCACAGAGCAAAAAAATATTACCATTGTGTAATATTTGCGTCCTTCGCAGATGCTGATTTCTGTTGCGGCCTACAGTCCCCAGACGGCGTGCCCGGACTTAGGGAGTCGGAGGCAACCAATGTGCCGCGAACGCAGCACCGCGGTCCGTAATTCAATATATTTATATTATAAATTGATCATATGCAATTATTTTAACTTTAAATACTAGATGGAACTGGATGAGAGCTCATCATTCTTAAATACACACGTATATATTTTTTATCATTATTTATTTGATATTTAAGTAATGTGTATGGTAAGGTGACCATATTTTTTTAAGTAAAATCCGGGATGGCAATTTTTAGTTATGTTAATCCGGGACGTCGGGGGGATGGGGGGAGTGTTAGTCGTTTATGTTACAAATGCTATTTAAGAATACAATAAAAAAAACAGTTTTTTAAAACGATTTTTTTTTATCATAATTGCGGACTTTTAGTAAGAAGTTTTGATAAGTTTTATACTTCGACTATTATATGCAATACTTCTTTATCTGTGATATTATATCTTATATTTTTTTATCTATATGTTCTATTAAATTTTCTTCACAATTAAATTGATTAAAAAAAATAGCATCTGTTAGTTTGTTTCCTTGATTTTTGTTCATTTAACTAGTAATTTTCATCCGGGACATCCGGGACAAAAAATAAAAATCCGGGACGTATGGTCACCTTAGTGTATGGTACCATATAACACTTCATGAATAAGGACGATTCTAATATAAAGACATTAATATTTTAGTAAAAAATTACACTTAATAAGTCACGCTTATAGTTCAGAAATATATGATATTAATTTTAAAGTGATCCACTGACTAGACTATGCCTAATTATTTTCATATACCTATTTGAAAGTGGGCTTGATATTTAAGCTATAAGTCAACAGCTTATTATTCAAATGATGGAATTTTATCCATTACAAATAACAAAAGTTAATATTTTAATAACTTCCCGAAGGAGAGTTTATGTTTTGATAAAAAAAATCCAAATCGCTAATTTTATGTTTTCTCGACGTTTCAAGCCATTCTGAGTCGAATGAGACCAAATTTGAAAAAAGTATGTGTGTGCGTGCGTGTGTGTATGTATGTGTGAACAGAGTTTTTCCCGTAAATCGACGTTTTCTCAAAAACGGCTGGACCGATTTCAAAAATTTAAAAGCCATTCGATGTATATCGATGAGGACTATATCGTTTGTCAGTATTGCGCTACGATCGGCCGAAACGTTTTTTTGTAACTTGAAAAAAAGTGTTAAAATTTTCGTCCACATTTAAGCTCATTCTACCGAATCGATTTAAAAAAATCAAAAACTGGTAGAATGATATTGGTTGGGAATGATACTGATTAGTTTTAGGTGAAAACCTAACGAGCCGTTTTCTAGTAATTAACTATTGAAAAAAAAAATTAAGGAGCATTTTTATGAAACATTTTTTGGCTATATATATTATGCTCTTATAAAACTTATTAAAATATTACGGCCTTACGACAAGTAGTTTAATTTTAAAAATTCATCAAAGTTTGAGAAAATAAGTAGTTTTTTTACGTTTGTTAAAATTAAAATTAGACGATTCACTTGGCATATCGATAGAGTACATGGTCTTAATGAACATACTAAACCATTAAAGTCCTACGAAAACTGTTTCAATTATAAAGATTATTGATTTTTGAAAATTTGCTTTTAGAAAATAGTCCGAGTTAACGTGTTCGTTTGTTTTCAAATATGTGTAATAAATCCACTCAGAATACTTTTAATCACTCATAAATTAATTTATTTTTTATTGATTAAGTCGATTATTTACACATATCGGGAAGTTCATGTAACTTACCTCAAGGCAAAATACCAATACCGTAATTAAATTTACGTATATGGTTCAAACAAATGTCTTCGCCACATGCGGCAATATGAAATAACAGATCATCCGATTAGATTAATTCAAAACATCATTTGCTTGTGTAGACTGTGTGTCTAAAATGTCTAAATCGAATGCCCATCCGGACGTCCGCGAATGTGGTCATAAAATTGACCTATCAAAATAAAACATAACTAATAACAGAAATACAGAATTAATCATACTTTATAACAGATTAGAAATTATATGAGTGGTTTCTTTGCTTTTCTAAAAAAATGTTTTCTAAAATCTAAATATCGCACTAACAATAAGTACAAATATTGTGACATATCCAGTAGTTCGAAATTAATTTTATTATTTCTTAACTGATTGCTGAATAAAACAGAGTTAAAAAAATATCTCTTAATACTTAAAATCTTAAACTTAAATATTTTTTGAATAAAATCCGCAACACATTTGCCAAAATAATCGTAGTGATTTCAGTTTCATTCACCCAGCGACAGTTAGAGAGTGATTAGTCTATTATGAATACAACTGTTTAGCCACCGAGGAGCACTAATTACGAAAAAGCACTTAACTGAGACTCTAATACTTAAAGCCTAATAGCTCTGGTTTAGCGGTATATTCGCCATTTAACCAGAATTATAAATGAATCCATTAACGATAATGGAACAGATTTAGTTTTGTGTTTTCTTGCTTCAACTACTTACCTTATTAAACTGATATAATCTGAAATATGTTTTTTGAGAAATTCTTTAACAGGAATCTGAAAACTGTCAAATATGTTTATCAAGAACTCAGTGAAGAAATTGATTGCACAATTATTAACTTTTTAGTTGTACTACTGTTGAATTTTTTTTTTCTTATTTCATTATTTTGATCATACGAATTATTATTTAATTTGTTTTTCTACAACATTGAAACCATGCATGATGAAGGATGCATGATTGCACAATATTTTATTAGTTTTATATTAATATTTCTACTTTACTAATAATTTCTGACACATTTTATTGGTTTAATATATATTTTTTAAACTAATTTTTTTTGATATCATTAAGTTTGATATTTGATTTATTAAATATCGGAAGAGGATTGAAATCCCTCTAAATAGAGAAGTCACATAAATGCACAAAATAAAATATCTATAGTCTAGGGTGGGCACAAAGGTCAAATTTGACTTTGAGCAATTATATTGTGAAAACCAAACCAATCATATAACAACAAATAACACATATGAAACAAACAACTATCTGACTATGTTCAGTAAAACTTCTAGGTAATTTTTTTATTTTTATTTTTATTTTATTTTTCACTTGGAAACATATTGCTATCTATATTTCAAAAAAAATCGTTGTCACTGCTGCCTGACAACAGGCTGCTCGAAGTGGGTATCGAACCCGGGACCTCTGAAATAAGTCCCATCGCACTTAACCGCTTACCTACGGGCAAGCCCAGGTAATTCATTGTTGTGGAAATGTGTTTTTTTGCTATCTTCAAAGATGGCCAGGTGACAAATTTCAAAAATTTGTCATTTGGTTCTTTTCACTCCATAGGCGGGGTGAAATAGGAAGGTCAGGGGGCAGACAGATCCAATGTCTTATTTTTAATTTTAAAAGGATTTTACGAATTAATAGCTACCTTTTTCAACCAATACAAAATATAAATTTTATGAGTACATTTTTACAGATGTAAAATATATGTACTGTATTATATGATCTGGCATTTTGTCAGAAATATTTTTCAGCAGGTTTGGAGCAACTTATTGTTTTATTTATATTTTGTAAAATTGTAAATTTAATTCACTTTTTTATTTACTATTTTTTCTTGCTTAAACATTTGCCAGAGTAAAGGTTCAGGTGGTTCTTTTCACTCAACCGCCGCAAGTTTGTAATTGATCATACGAGGTCTGTTCAAAAAGTTTTCGTAATTTTCGTTTTTTCAAAAAAATATTTATTTATTCGTCTACATTAATGTGGTCCCCTTCAAAGTAGTCCCCCTCAGATATAATACACTTATGCCAGCGTTTTTTCCAATTTTCGAAGCACCCTTGATATTCACTTTTTGATATGTCCTTGAGCACTCTCAGCGATTTTCTTCAATCGAGGAAAACCGCCGTCCTTTCATGGGTCTCTTCAACTTTGGGAATAGGAAAAAGTCACACGGAGCCATATCTGGTGAATTTTTGCACTTTGCAACACTTTATTTCATTTTTTACGCAAAATTTAATACAAATTCTTTGACTTTTCAATTCTTCCATTGTAAAAATCGCCGAGCTCAGAAAAACACGTCGAACCTTAGCGACTACCACAGACAAAGTAAACAGTGAATATAGCTGAAAATTTCATCATACTTTAGGGGCATGTATATCAACACAATAAAAAAAAAATTTTGACAATCAGACACTCCAGACCCGCGAAATTTAATTATTAGTAATTCCGGGTACTTTTTGAACACACCTCGTACAGTAGTAAACATACATAATTTTTTTTAACTTTGAGCACATCTTTAAGGCTTCTTGATTCTTCATTTCAAAACACTTATAGTATTACAAATGTATACACTTATGTTCTTTCTAATGATAAACAATTCTTATTTATAATTCCGATATTGAAAACAATCATTGAATGCAATCAATTTCAATGAGATCTTTTTTAGCACTATCTAAAATCATTTTCAATGCAATTCCAGGAATTGTGATTTAATATTCGTCAAGCTGTCAACTGTTAGGAAAGACTAGCAATTACTTATATTGATTTATTATCGATTCGTACGATATTGTACATGGCATTTAAAGTTGAAAGTATCATAATTATTGTACAGAAGTCATTACAATAGCAAGGTTTCATTCTTATCTCATGAATAATTTCTGCGATGTGAAAAGTTGAACTTGCAACCTGTTTCAAACTTTCTACGGCTATTACCTTTTAATAATAGAAGCTTTTGATTGTTGTGTTTTCGGTCGGAATGCACAATGAATGGCAGATCGACTGAATATTTTACCCTCGATAATGGTTGTATTTCCGTTCTCTCGAATAAATATTCATTGCAATAAAACAGTTCATGGAAGTGTTATTGCAAATAGTTACTTCTGAATATTAATAAATAAGTGAAGTGAGGTCGGAATGTTTTTTGCCGAGCGCTTTTTTGATACATTTATTTTTCAATTGTTTTTTATGCATTTATTGACTATCCTTCATATATTCACTATCCTTCTTCAATTAATTATAAATTACAATATTTATTACGATACTACCGTGCCAAAAATATCTACGAATTATTTAGAAAATACAATTTAACGAATTAGAAGAATGAGTTGATTTGTTAAAAAAATTAAATTTAATTTAATAGTTTAAATATATAAAACATAGTATGGGGGACTGAGTACAGTAGTGACGGTAGTGGTAGCAGCTAAACTATACTGATTTTGAGATAGGGTCCAAAGGACTTGAACAAGTTCCATTTGCTTTCAGTCAGTAAGTTTTACAGTTTTTGCTTAGATAATTTAGCTCAGTCATAGTGATGATTTGTTTACGAAATTGTGCGTTGGGATAATGTATTTTTTGTTTTATTTTGGTGAAGATTAAACTGATAAAAAAATCTAACTTAAGACAAATATATGAAAAAGAATTGAAGGAAAAACTTATAATAAAAAGAAAAAATATTTTACGAAGAATTTTTGTTAACTTTGTTCTAAAAAAATATGTTTTGTTATATATTGTTAGAATTATTTTATTCAAAAGCTTTGTTTAAATGTTTATATTATTATTATTAACGACAATAAAAAACGTTATAATCTATTTTGGCATTCATACCTAATTTTTATGCCTCATCGAAAAAAGGGCGAGTGTCACAATTAGCCACACCCCCCGGGGACGGTTGGGACACTCGCCCTTTTTTATGATTTGATTTTATAATTTTAGAATTTCCATGTTGACAAATCTTTAAATTACTATTTAATTTGCTTTTCTCCCAGCTATATGATAAATTAACAAAATTATGGCTGATAAAAAAAAAACAGGCACAACCGTACCCAGTCTTCCCTATTTTTTATTATTAATATTATTATGAATATGAAGCTATTAGCTATTTAATATTGAATTTACATTTGTATTAGAATTAATTCAATATGTGTACAGTAATTTCCAAATGACGAAATTCCAACTTTAACATATCACGAAGAAGGGTTGTGTTGTTTTCTAAAATTAACTAAATTTGTTCTAAATGTTAATAAATAGATAAATATATATATATATATATACTATATTAATATATTACAAATTAATTATATTAAATAAGTTTAAGTAATTAATCCAAGAAGGTAAAATAATACGTCGAATTTTTTTCCTTTATTTGCTATGGGTTTTATTCTAAATAAAACTTATAGTATACCATTACCCATTTTTATTTTTGCGTCGGAGATTGTCTGTTTTATAAAATAATTATTTTGGTTTTACCTAATGTTTTGTGATTATGGTAAATACATTCCAATAAAAGCAGCAGCCGGAGAGTTGCGAAAACAAATTGTTCGTTATATTAGAAAAGCTTGAACTTTCTCTGCACGCGCCAAACTCATTACCAACAAACATAGAATGACCATACCAAAATAGAGTTTGAGTCATACGGAAATAGAAAATCCATATAAAATTCTGCCCGTTTTTTTGTATAGTTTTTAATAGTACTAAATTTGGAAAATAATATACAATACACCACTTCGAACAAGTCGGTACTTTAGTGTACTTCTTTTTCGGTCTATATCAACATTTTATATTAGTTGTTGCTTGCAGTGCTCATCTGTTAACAGACTTTAATCTCGATGGGTCAGAGTGGTATTTACGGAATTATATTCTACTGCATCACATATATTCCATAGGTGGATGTATGGTACATGTGTGGTGGATTAGATTGACAGTTGGTCATACTACAAAACTGTAAATATTGCATAAATCCAATACATATCTCGGTATACACGTTTTACTCTTGACTGCTCTGTTACTTCAACAGTCTGTCAGTGTAAAAAACTTGGACTGCGCAACGAGTTAATAGGGTTCACAAATTAGATTATAAATGCATTCGTTATGGAAATGCGTCTAAGTTGCCGGACGACGCGGCAAAACCATGTGTACGGATTCATATTTTTATTTATATTAATTGAAAATTAGAGTCGGGGAGTTTTTGCACGACTGATACACTGGAAAATGTTATCTCATGTTGCGCGTATGAAGTTTTTTTTTATTTCATTTTTAATAATAATCAGATTTTAATTACCTTCTATGAGTTATTTTGATTTACATTAATTGAATATATAATTATAGATAGTAGTTACGCCAATGGGTAATTACTATTAGATACAATTTATTGAATCTTGACAATATAGTCTTGATAATTCTGGTGTAAGAAGCAGCGGAGCAACGAGTGAATTCGGGTGATTTTCTTATTTGTGATGATGATTAGTGGATGTTGTTTTTATAAAATCTTCAATATATAGCACATTCAGATTGTCATGCAGTTTTATTACTCACGTACCAGGGTGCACCTGTCATCATTCTGAGTAATCTACATTAGATTGCTAGATGACCAGATATGAATTATTATCGTTTCATAAACCAAAATTTTGAGCTAATAGAGCTTCCTAACTCTGGTTTTGATAGTTTTGATTATTATTGTGATGTGATGCTTCCATGTTAGTCTGCGGTCTAGATGCATATCTAGGTCTAAGCTAGAAAAGTTTCTTACAGTTATTGGTATTTTTCAAACAAACAAACAAACAGAAATACAGTTCAATAATTTTGCACAAAGGTGCTACGCATAGGGGCGATATACGTATTAATTATTCTATAATATTGTCCTCACCAATGTGTAATAACTGAAATGAGATTATGACGTTATAAATATATGAGCAAAGCATTTGAATTAGTAAGTGGTATGTAAAAAATTCAATCAAAATTAAAATTAAAAACATTTTATTAGAATATGCTTTAAACCTAAAACCCAAATTATATTTATTGAAATTAAATCAAATTTTAAATAAAGATAGTATTTTTTAAATAAAACTTTTAATAAAAATTAGTATGACTACTAAGTCAAGTTCTATGTGTATGTGGTTGGTTGAATACTAAATATATTATCTTATTTTTATGAAAGAATCTAATGTAAATTGCGTATCTCTTATTGTATAAAACTATATAATAATTTAATTCCAAGTTCTGTATGTTTAAATTCACAATTTTACTTAATTTAATTATCTTTGCAGGCACTCTCACAGTCAATGTCAGCGTGTTATTGTTGAGTCTAGCTTCGCCAGACGAGTCAAGTTTGGTGAGTATATATTTGTTATTAAACACTAATTGGCATATTTTATAAAGGTAGATATACATAACATTTAGATAAGCAATCAAATTCTTAAATCAGTAATAAGAGCTATACATGTTCTATATTGCTGTGATATATATATCTTTAACCTACAACTTGTAGGTGTTTCTAGAATGCTACACACTGATTATACCCTACCTGTTCAGATATTTTTATTAAGTTTTTGATTCAATGCTGATGAGGTATATTATTGCTAACGAAGGGCAGGTCTGTAACTGAACTTTGAGGGTCCGTCATTTTTGACGGAATTTTGACAAAATTTTTCCAAAAGTGTTCGAAAGATATTGGTTGGGAATTTTTATGATTTTTTTTTGACGGTAGATATGATAATTTTATAGATCATACTAAAATATTACGGTCCTATGACAAGTTGTTTAATTTTAAAAGTTCTTCAAAGATTCGGTAGAGGAATAGTAACAGCAACTATACATCTTTATTTTGTAGAAATATATTCCGAGTATCTCAAGATCAACCTTAAAAAACTGTTACAACCAGTACCTAACTTCTTTATTTATTTACTTCAAACCTTATTGTTTAGTAATGCCCATCCTGATTTTTTCTACACTTCGTAAATTTACAAATCGTGCATCGTATTAAATATTTCTTTACAACGTAAATCCGAGCATTATCAATGCATTTGCTTTGAGCCGCGTAGCCGATCCATTAAAATATACATGGGGACTCGAAACCAAAACCCTTCTAATCCCAGATTGACCGTATCTTGCTGTATCGCGAATAACAGACGACCCCCATATTAAACAATACACGGAGATGAACAAATATTACATAGCATGATATATTTGGATTCATTTGTGACGATGTATATATACACTGAACATGCGGGCTTCTTGCGAATTGAATTTGCTCACAACTAATACGGTTATACCACAAACTGTGGTATAACCGACATCGTATATGGAATAATCTTAGTTGCAGCTTCCGCGAGCCGGTACATGGATTCATATAACATATATTGGGTTCTGTATTAGTAAACGTTTTTGTGGTTTATTAACCCTACATTGTTGTCTTTTGATCCATCCATCCGTTTTGGATGACCTATTTAGATCAAGGTGGTGTGATTTAAACAAGTTTATTGATAGTCGCAAGCAAAACTTCGTCTTTATATAAACATAACTGGCTAATTAATGGATGGCTTTCAGCGTAAATCAGGTTATTCAATGATATGCTATTAAGGGGGTTGTTCTTTTTTCGTTACAAAAAATGCAAGGTATTCGTTTTTGTTGTTTCTCGAAATGTATTTATCATAGAGACATGCGGTTTTTTTTAAACAAAAATTACAAAATCATAGAATATTACGTGATTTTCTTCTTTTTTTTTGCGCCGTCATTTTTTAACCAGGGGGCGCCAAAGTCGGTCTTGCAAAATCGATCTCTTTTGCGGTGCCACAGATAAATCCGTTGCGCATCGCCCGAAACAAAAAAAAAGAAATTACGTTGAAGAAGAAGTTTGAATCCAGTCCCCCTACCAAAATGAAAGAAAAAAAGCAAGAAGGAAAAAAATGGCAGCTATTTAAAAAAAAAGTGTCAAAAAGGCCTTTTTTTGGGGCGAGAACCTTCGCAAAATTTTTTTGCGTAATGTTATCAAGTTGTTTGAGGTAGGGGGACTCGGTATTGCAGTGGTGAACAAATGAAAATGACTTGTAGTTTTTGTTTAATTTGTGGCACCGCATTGAAAAAAGTCAATTTGAGAAAAACGTATTTAAAGTTTTTAATATAATGTACTGAATACACCATTTAATTTAATGTACTAAATACACCATGGTGTTCAAAGATGCTGACACATTAAAAAGGTCATGTGCATGAGGTATTATAATGAAAAAGAGAGCAGCTGGCATACAATAGCTCGCGGAGCGATAAAAAAACGCTTTCAGAGGATCATACATATAGAGATATATATATCTATAACTTCGTCAAAAAAATAGATATTGAGATGATTTTTTTTTTAAATGATTCTAAGGTTTTTATCTTTCATAATATCAAAAAATCTTAAAACCGAATCATAGAAAAATAAAAAAAGAACAACCCCCTTAACGCTTTCGGTACAGATGTCGTCTCTGGACGGCATTCACATGACGTGCTGTGTGTACGAATGTCGTTCCTGGACGACTTAAGGTCAAGCCGAAACGAGGTGATAGTATTGACCTTAACTGTCCTAAAAAAAAATGAAAAAAAATCTCACCACAAAATTATGAGCATTAAAGTGGAACTCAGAGCTGTGGTAAAATTATAACCGTTTTTTGCTTATTGTGGTTAACTTTTATTAATTTTGTTACATTTAAACTTTGAAACCGTAAGCATATATAACATTTCTAAGACGACAATCGAAAAGAATAACACAATAGCCCCAAAATTTTAAGAATTAAGACTTTTTGTCGAACTATGAATTTAAAGTTTTTGAAATCAGTCGACTTTGAAAGGGCCTTCTTAAAAAAATTCACCAAAATGTGTTAACATGTTTTATCAAAAGTTGACGCATTTGATCGGTATTGTAACATGGTAAAAAACTTGATAATTTGACAAAAAATATGAAAACATGAAATGATAAATATATTTTACAGACAGTTACATGAAACCAGAAATTGTTATGTGAATATTGCGTTATTGCAGGTATATTAATCAGTTTTATCACAGTTCGACACACACATGTATATATATATATATATATATATATATATATATATATATATATATATATATATATATATATATTATGGGTCTTAAAATCCACGAACCATAACATAATCCCTCGTGACTTGGTATATTTAGGACACAAATTTATATTTCTATGATATGTTTAGGCTGGGTTTGTAAAAGGGTTTATCAAAGGGTTGATTATTATATACATGTTGCGATAAATTATTTTGATACGAATGAATAATCAAGTTCGTCTCAACCTTCTGAATAATTTATTTATGTTTTATAGGTCGTATTCTAAATTTTATTCTACTATTATTACATAGTAATTAAAATAAATATTCATTTGTAAGGTAATTTAAGTATGAAAATTAAACAACGTTTGAGAAAATAAAATGCGCGCCATGCATAAGAGTGTAGAGATTGGGCTGAGTTCATATAGGAGGAGTAAATATCATACTGATTTTTCTGGGTCCAAATCTTGTCGACGTTTTATTTTTGTAATATTACTTTGCATAAATATTAAAGAAATCACTTATTTTAATAATTACCATTAAAGAGTGTTTCAGATAAATTCGTTTGTTTATAATTATTATTTTGTTATACAAGTGAATATACACTTGTAGTGTATAGATACGCAAAGATCCAATTTGACTTTGAGCAATTATATTGTGAAAACCAAACCAAATACATCACAACAAATACCACATATAGAACAAACAACTATCTGACTATGTTCAGTAAAATCCTAGCTAATTCATAAATGTCGAAATGTGTTTTTTTTACTGATTTCAAAAATTTATTATCTGGTTATTTATACTTCATAGGAGGTAAAATGGGACGGCCAGGGGGTAAACAGATTTAGTGTCTTATTTTTAATTTTAAAGGAATTTCAAGAAAAAATATTTAACCGATGCGTAATAATAAATTTATAGGTACATTTTTTTTTCAAAAATTGCATCGTATATAAACTGGATCTGGTATTTTGTCAGAAATATTCATCAGCAGAGTTATTAGAATAACTAATGATTTAACTTATTACTTTTTTGTAAATTTTTTTTTCAACTTAATTTACTTTTTTATGTACTATTTTTGTTGTCAGGGTAAAGGTTCAGTTGTACTTTTATATCCCACCCACGTGTAAGCTTTTATAGAGGTTATATAAAAAACTGTTGAATCTAACTTTAAATTAACAAAACATCTTATAAAACCATTAAGTTATTATGTATACATTAAAATTATATTAAGGTCTTGTAAACTAAACAACAGTGCTCATAACCAAAAAATTAACGAAAGAAAATGGTTTTGTTATGGGTTTTCAAACATTGTTTTTTTATCTCCCGATAGCAAGGTCGTAAAAATCAAGGAATGGCTGGTTAAACATCTTTTTCCTTCTACTTTCAAATATTGTTGTTAAAAATTTTCTACCTGCCCTTTAAACCTCGCTCTAGCCTATATGCTGTTGAATAATACTTATTATAATTTGTTAAATCGTGTATTTCAATTTGGTATAGTGCAGTCAAACTAATTTCGTGAAAATTGTTTTCCTATTTTCCTCCAAACGTTGAGAGATGTGTACACAACGGTCATGAATAATATATTTTGCAATGAAAACGTGGTTGCATAGCGCTCAGCCAATCCTCCGAGCTCCGACGGATAGAGATGACTTGTATCGGACAGTTAGCCATGCAATATTGTTGATTGCACACATTTATAAAGAGAATCGAATAATCAAATTTGGCTAGTTTTGTTTAATTTTATTTGGTATTTAATAAACAGTATCATTACGCTTAATACGGGGAAAGTAGAACGCAAAGCTAAATAGCGCTAAACGGCGCTTAACATGTGAATAATGAAATTAGGGTAAGATGGATTATAAATTGGCTTGGAAAAAATTTAGAATATTTATCAACGTTGCATATATTTTAATAAAAATACAATCAAATATTTATTTCACACACAAATAAAAATAATATAAACGAAAATACTTATGTATCATAACATTTACGACTCTAAGTCGGAACATTTAGTCTATTATGCCAAAAGGCATATAATATATTTTACGATTTTCTCTGTCGATTTTTTGATTCCGATTTTAACTTGATGTTTTCAAGAAGTTATTGATAAGTGATAATAACACCTCTTGCTTTTGAACGCATGATATTTTTTAACAAATTAATTCATATTTTTAGTCATAGTTTTTAGCGACCATCATTGAAAGTTCCTTTTGTTCTTCTTCGAAATGATTACTATCAATATTTTTACTTTATTCTTGTTTAGAATTAGTTAATT